CGATAACATGTCAATTTTAGATTGCATTTCTGATAAGTAAAAACTCCCTCTTCCCGGTCCGGAATATTTAATTCTGATATTAACGTTAATATTTCTTATGCGGTATAAAGACGATGGTTAAATCTCTCGATAATCATGCTTGAAAAACATGACCGATTGGGTCTGTCAGTAGAAACAGAGAAAACCAAAACGTTGGTTTAGATTAGAGATGGGAGCAGTAACTTGTTCGGAGATCGTTTTACATTTTTAAGTTGAGTCAGGAAAAATTAGAACGGCATTTGGTCAACGTACTGAAACAATTCAACATATATGGCAACCATAGCTTTGGCATTAGATTCTAAAACTCCGAGATTACAGTATTGTTGTTTGTACGAGACGTTTTCAACTTTGTGTCAATTCTGTGAAGACAGTTCTCGATACAGATACCGAAATAACCTTCATTGGGTTCATAAAGCACAGTTGGTTGTACTTGATATAACATGTAGATTTGTAATTTCTTTAACACTTACAGCTGAACGTTCTTTTACAAATAGGAGTTATTTAAAACAATATCGGTTAATGTGTGTTACAACACTAATGAAACATGTTACATCAGCCTATATAAATCACGTGTGTTGGTCTGGATGGTAGAGGACAGAGGGTCTTTATGTGGAAAGAAACCGGAGTAACCTGAGAAAAAACACTCGGTTTGATAGGTGACCCCAAGTGCGATCGGGAATCGAACCCCGGCCGCCTTGGTGAAAGGCGAGAGCGTTATCCACGGCGTCACCCAATCTCCAAATGTAAAACACCGTCATTTAGAGGCGGGATACTTTCCAGTCCATTTTGTCTGGATCCAGACTGTGTTTGACCTCTTGTTTTGTCTTGTCTTGATTTGAATGCATTTTTGATTAAATTCGAAACGTAATACTGTGAAATATTTGTTTCTATTTTTACCCCGTTAAAATAGATTCAACAAGAAATATCATGCGCAAATGCTAATAAAATGAGCTTAATAATACAATCATACGAAGCTCTGTGATTAAATGTCATGCTCATAAGACTTCATTTTATTGATTGAAAGATTGAAAATTAATGTTCCACTTATAAACCATCGAGTGAGTACCGATCTGAGAGTCATATTTCAACAACTGTAATCAGCTAAACACTTCAACAAGAGATTAAGAGAAGAATTGATAAACAAAAACGAGGCGAGTGGTGTTCTAGAAGTCAGAATTGAAGCACAAGTACGGGCACGTGGTTATTGAACATATCAACATCCTGTTTTTAAAGGGATCACCAGCGCTTCAGACGAAACACATGAATACGACCTTGTAAATGTTATAGGAAGTAATCAAGACGAAGAGGAATGGGAAGAAAAATATTAAAAAAAGGAAAGAGACATGTACAGCGCGTGGGTCCCATTTATGATACTGTTTGGAAACTTCTGAAATTGAATACATCGGAGCATAGGAAATCCAGCAACTACAGTTCTCTCTGGATTATCTATCCATCTGTGCCAGTACACCCACCCGCCGCCTTCTTAGCGATTAATCCACCTGTCGTTGTGAGTTATCCATCCACCTTTGTTCTCATAGGATAATCCATCCACCTTAGTCCTTAATTGATAACCTATCCACCTACATTCTTAGTGGATAATCCATAAATCTCCGTTCTCTGTGGATAATTCATTCATCTGCCCCCTGAGTGGATAATCAATCCATTTGCATTCTCAGAGAATGATCCATCCACATTCACCCTCGATAATTTATCTTTCAATCGACATTCTCAGGAGATAATCTTCAGTGGATACTACTCCTCATTCCAGTATCAGTAGATAATCCACCAACCTTCCTTGTCCGTGGATAATCCAACCCAGTCTCGTTGTTGGTGGATGATCCATTGACCTGCGTTCTTATTGGATAATGAAAATCCATTCACCTGCGTTTTCATATGGTGATCCATCCACATGCGTCTTCAAGGGTAATGCAAGGGCATAATGACAAACCATTGTAAAAAATAGACCGTTGCGGAGTAGAAAGTTGTTGATGGATGCGGAAAGACAGGGGAGAGCAAAGCCTGACATAAGTGTTTGAGAGACAAAGATGTAAATAGAAATTACAAATCTAGAAAAAGATGAGGACGGAAACTCATGGGCCTTACACAAAAGATACGAACTTGTTTAAGTATAGGTACTTAAGTACACATAGCAGGAAATCTATAATCTGATAAACAAGTATAACCCCAACAATAAACCAGTCCACATCTCACGTGTCAACTGTGGGAGGAGGTATAATATGGAAGCGGAAGACAAAGGAAAAACTACAGGACTGAATATATTTTTGAGTAGTGTGTATTGAACAGCATCACAGATGTAAAAACAAAGAATCAGTAATGCTTGATTTTATAGCAAAGTCAAGATACTGACTTCATATCATAGTGGAACACGTAATTAGAAAATTTAGAGAAGCGGTCCATATAAAAAATACCCAGAAGCAGATCAACTGCACCCCTAGATTTTTGATGAAATCAAAATTACAGGTTGTAGAATTTCAGCATGGCATTAGGATAAAATAAACGCAGGGCAAAAGTAGATATTACAATTTTGGACTGATGAGAGAAAGGTTACCCAATTAAAAGTGCTTGGTCTTCTATGCTGTCAGTGTATGTCAACAACTTGCTTGTATTTACAACATCTATAGCAAATTGTTTGTCGATGACAACGTTTGTAACAGAAAAATGGCAACAGGCAAAATGAAGACGAATATCAATAATTTATGAATAATTTTCAAAGAATATTCGTCCAAGTGACATATGAAAATTAACAAAACTTACAGTTATAACCATAAACAAAATTCAAGTCATAAACTAAAGTACAATGTGAGCCAAAGATACGTTAACATAGAGACTTTTGAAAAGAATAAGACCGGGGCCCGTATTCATGAAACCGTTCTCATGCTCAAGCATGGATTCTGTGCTCAAACCAACTTTTTTGTAACTCGCTTAAATCATGTCAAACGATCAAAATGTCAATTGCTAACATAGAAATCACTTTCGGCCGTAAGGCTTTTCAATGTGTTTTCTGTAATACAGCAAATACAATATTCTTATGAGAAGCCAATGGTCGTAAATACAACATTCTTATGAGAGGCCAATGATCGTAATACAACAAATACAACATTCTTATGAGAGAACAATGGTCGTAATACAACAAATACAACATTCTTATGAGAGGCCAACGGTTGTAAATACAACATTCTTATGAGAGGCCAATGGTCGTAAATACAATATTCTTATGAGAGGCCAATGGTCGTAAATACAACATTCTTATGAAAGGCCAATAGTCGTAAATACAACATTCTTATGAGAGGCCAATGGTCGTAAATACAACATTCTTATGAGAGGCCAGTGGTCGTAAATAGAACATTCTTATGAGAGGCCAATGATCGTAATACAACAGATACAACATTCTTATGAGAGGCCAATGGTCGTTATACAACAAACACAGCATTCTTATGAGAGGCCAATGGTCGTTATACAACAAACACAACATTCTTATGAGAGGCCAATGGTCGTAAATACAACATTCTTATGAGAGGCCAATGATCGTAATACAACAAATACAACATTCTTATGAGAGACCAATGATCGTAAATACAACATTCTTATAAGATGCCAATTATCGTAATACAACAGATACAACATTCTTATGAGAGGCAAATGGTCGTTATACAACAAACATAACATTCTTATGAGAGGCAAATGGTAGTTATACAACAAACACAACATTCTTAAGAGAGGCCAATGGTCGTTATACAACAAGCACAACATTCTTATGAGATGCCAATGATCGTAATACAACAAATACAACATTCTTATGAGAGGCCAATGGTCGTTATACAACAAATACAACATTTTTATGGGAGTCCATTGATCGTAATACAGCAAATACAACATTCTTATGAGATATACATTTTAACGTTATCATGGATACTTATCATTTATGTATGTCCAACTCTCTGTTAACATATATGCTGTTTGTTATGACGTCTTAAACGAAGATGCGGAAAGAAAAGTGGCAAATATAATAGTGCGCTCATTAAAAGGAAAAGTCGGTTAATTCCTTCATAGTCATTTATGTATGAAAATACAACGTCCCATCCAAAGGTATTTAAATTTAGGAAACTCATGTGATGGGAAATGTTATCTTAATGGATCTTGGAAATGGCTAAAATGGTATAATTTTGAATAAAGTTTGTTTTTAGAATTAACAATATAAATTTAAGTGGGGGATGTTTGACATCTCATTATAAGTGATAAACTCAAGTTCCTTTATACCTGTAGACGTAAATAGGTTAACCTTTTTTTCAATAATACGTGACACACACGATAACAAAATGATATAAAACAGTCATTATCAAAGAGACGCTAATTATTTTTTCTTAATTTTGTAAATTATATATGGGAAAAAGTGGTGAATATTTTCCTGTATCGTTATTTAGAAATGACGCACTTAGATCTGTCGTTTCACGATTTAAGTAATCGCCCTCACTTTTCCAGTTTCATTTTCGGCAATGCTACATCTATGTGAGTAAGAAGCAACGTTATGAAAAGAAGTTTATTTCGCCAGTTATTTTTTATTCTTAATAAATAAATGAATAAAAAATAAATAAGGGCTGTAAATGTAAAACTCTTCAATTTATACCTTGTTCTACTTTTAGTCCCTTTAAAGGAAATTTATTGAGCTGTCGGCCTTGTTTTATTTGAGACGGGTTCAATAAGGGGATGATTCGGTTTTGTATAATGTTATTTGATTGTGTATGTGTGTGTTTCCCATGGTACACACAGGTGGGCCAGTGTATAATTCTTATAATTCTTACAGCCATGCCAATGTTGACTCAATGGACTAAAGCGAAAAATCTCCTGCAACAAACCGGATCTCAAACGAGGAGTACTATATATAGACGACACGGGATACTACACGGGTGCGTCATAGGACCCGTATCATTATACACGTTGTCGTCGGTATAGCATTGTTAGTGGAGAGTTCAATGGCCATTAAACAACACATTCTTTGACTTACGACTTAAGAATTAATGTCGTCATGAAATGGGAACATTGTTTTGTCGACAGATGTTGCATATTTCTTTGCAAGTGTGAAAACATGTCCTTTACGAGCTGTTAAATTATATTGTGTACAATCGAGTTCTATTCACTGCGGATTTAAAGTGTGGCACATTGTACAAAGGGTATACAACTATACGCTCGAGATAATAGGACACGCTTAGTTGAATAACATATATACAGAGTTATTTTCGGAGGCCTACCCGTCGGAAGGTTATACCGGCAGTGTCCCGTGTACATCTAGACCATGAACTTTCGAGCTCGTGGATTTTTTATGATTTGTCCGGAGGTTCTTCACTAATTAAAAACAGCACGTCTTTTTAAGAACTCTGAGATGTGAGATCATGTAAATGTAAATTCGACCAGTGCGCCATTGAGAAAGTTGAGATAATTGTATTCACACTTTCATCGGAGGAGCAGTTTAAACGAGGGATTATTGAACGTGACTTGTGACATTAGAACACACCGATTGTACTAGTCATTGCGATATACTAACAACGTGAAAACTAAGGTAAGAAAACATTGTTGTATATGTTTATATATGTAAACAAATATGTAAATAACCGATGTCCTCTTGTATACAACCTAACCAGACCTTTCATTGAAGGAGATACTCGTTTATTGCATCCATGACCGAGTCTGCAGTTTAGGTCATAAATCTCAGGTAGGTATTATAATGGTTGTCTTAACAAAAAACAATGATTGATGTAGTTTTCTTAACAATTAAAAAGACAATTTTGTCGAGTCGACACAGACATACCAGTAAAGGCACAATAGTGATCGGCGAATACTGCTAAATAGGTTTACATCACCTGTGATAGTACCTATAGGCTTCAGATGCAGAATTCAGGTATTTTAAGGATTGTGGTGTTGTCTTTCCTTTTGTTTTCGCGTCGCCTTATAATTTATTTCTGTTATTGACTTGTCGACTTACAGTTAGAATATTATCTGCGTGTTTCGACACATTTAGATGTGTTTTATCAGCTGTAAGAGCAAACTAAATATTATGCAACCGCCTGTGGGACGTCGAAGAACACTATTGTATACTGTATTAATTTCTGCTTTTGAATAAATACATTTTCCCATGACATTTTTGTCCCTCTCTATCGAATTTGAGGTTGGATTTCGTCCTATGTCGACACTGTGGGGTAGTCTATTTTTTTCTTATGCTGACTCGTTAACGGTGTTCACTACTGCTGTCGATCTCGCGTTAAGTTTTTAGCTGATTATATAGAACATTTACACAGTATCAATGATCATGTGTAAGTGATCAAGCTGTCCGAGGTCCGGCCACATTTTTCACCATACTCAGACAGATATATGTAAGCGGATACACCAAACAGGTCGACAAAAGTGACAACACTCTCCCTCGATATAGCGGATTTGATTAAGCCACATTAAGCGGATCACAATGGATAGGAACACATACTAACTTATTGATAAATATGTGAACAGGTCCCAGGCAGGTTTTTCGGTGTTAGATATTTTAAAGGTTAAGAGTACCACTTCATGAGTTCTAATCACGAACAGTTAGGAGTACAACTTTTCTTACTAACCTATTGATAAATAGGTGTACAGGTCCCACGCAGGTGTTTCGGTTTTAGATATTTTAAAGGTTAAGAGTACCACTGCACGAGTTCTGATCACGAACAGTTAGGAGTACAACGTAACTGTGTTTTTCGTGAATCGTGATATCCCCTTTCTTTATAAAAGACGGAGCAAAAAACGCAGTTTTTCTGACATTTTGATTTCCGTTTTCAATATATCCATCTTTCATTTTGATCTTGTGCGTTTTTAATCAAATATTCCCTAATCACTCAGTGGAGCGAGACATCCTGTATATAAAGTATGTAACTGGGTGAGTAGGTCCAGGGTTCGATTCTTGTAGTTTATGTCTGTTTTTATATTTTTGATTTTTAAATATTTTTATTTGTATATTTTGTTTTCATTACTTAAAATTTCGAACGCTTATATATTGGCAAAATGTAACGTCACATATATAGAATAATTCTGCAGAAAATGACTTATACTAGTTCATAATAGTGACAACAATGTTCATGACATATACCTATACCTAATGGTGCTCTTTACCATATATAGCAATTTCAGAATTATATTCTACATCTTAAAATAACAATTCGTCCGTTAATAAGAATCGAATCCTTAGAATCCATTGGGAGGTACATTCATGAAATGTCTGACAATATTTTGGTATAAGCCGATCAAGAGAAATCTATCAATAAAGGTGTAGAATGATAGGCAAAACAATATATGTTTGTTCATTCGATGCGTCTCCTGAAACATATTTTGTTTGTTAAAGTGCACTTCCTTTGTTTCTTTCTCTTAATTGCATAGGTTTGACCACAATGAAACCTAATGTATATTCCAATCAAGTGAGTGTGATCACAAGGCGAATGTCTTTGTATAAGGATATGATCGTGCGTAGGTCGTATAGGATGCATTCTTTCTCTTAAGCTTTCAAGGTGCACCCTCGGGCTTTACCTGGGTAGTGATTCAAAGACTCTTTCATACCCTTTGTTGAGATAGGGCGATCTCAAACATAGACAGAAGATTCTTCAGTTACCTATGAACAAATTTTGCCGAACGTTTGACTACTGAAGAATGTTCCCCATCTCACCTTCAAGAGGGGCTGAACTATTTTTTCTTTGTCTCATTCTGTTGGTCTTGTCATATATGCGATGCTGACGTTACGGGGTCCATACAATGAGGACATGACGTCATAAACTGTTCTAACATGGAATTCCTCTCCCCTTAAACCAATCTGATTAAAATCATATCCTACATTCTCTACGTATCACGATACGTAGAGAACGTAGGATATGATTTTAATCAGATTGCCCTTAAACCAAGGGTGCATCTTTTATAAATTTCTATCTCGTTGGGAATAAGATTCGGGGATTTCAGCCGGATGGTCGAGAATGGGGGCTTATTTGCGTAACACGAGGTTTCCTGAGTGTTAGGCAACAGAAACAAATGTTTCTGCTCAGGCTGAGATCCCTCATTTCATTCCCTACAGAATTGCCAAACACTAGCTTTGCTGAGAACTTCAAGATATCCCCCTGAGGGAAATACGGAGGACCTTACTTGGTCAATGACCCCTTTTTCTAGGGTTCGAATCCTGATCCGAGCCTGTTGTGTGATTAAACTCAAAACACTGTTCTTGATTGTTTTGTTTTCCTCTGTATGTTTTCATAAAATTCCGCAAGATGTGGATTTCTTAGAAATGATACATGACAGCCATAGCCATCACAGAGAACGTGGTTCCGATGCGTAGTTAGTTTTCGACAGTGGTACGAGAATCCTTAAAACATACTTTCACTAGCCCTTACCCCTACTCGTGTGTGCGATTTAAGTTTTGCTATCGATTTACATTTTTTAAGTGAATGCGTGCTTTAATTCGTGTTTGGTTCGCAGTTTTTTTTATATTTAGTACTCGGCCTGTTGCGTGTTCAAATGAAATAAGGCCAAAACCGGTTGGAATAGACACCTCTTGGGCGATAAGGAGATCAAGACATTGTATGCCGCAATGGAATATTTTATCCTTAAGAATAAGTATAATTGTTTAAGGGTCATCTTGAAAAAGATAAACATATCATTATATGATCTAAAGACCTATATATAGCCAATTCCACAGGTCAAAGTTTGGATTTTCCGATGATTTATTTAATATGTTAGAGTCGGAAAGGTCAGGCTAGCGATCTGCTATCTTGCGGATCAGTTTGCTTTTGGCATTTTAAACTGACAAACTGTAGTTTATACATATATACTAACAAGGAGGTCAATTATCTCATTGGAACGTTTTCCCATATACTGATGTACACTATTTCTTAAATCGTCATTATTGAACCTTATTCAAATTAAAATGTTTAAGTGGTTAGAACATTTTAATCTGTTAATTGATGTCATCTTTAGATTTTCGAAGCAGAATGTTTCCAGCTGGAAGTTAATTAAGTCATTAATCGCAGGTGAACGTCTTTATAAGTGATACAAATCCATATAAATTGAAGTATAGTATGTCTTGAAGTCATAAAGCATACTGCAAATTTAAATGGTCATATAATTAAGCATTTAGTTGATGTAATTTTTACGTTGTCACAGGAGATTTTTGTATTTTTTTCTGACTTGCAGTTATCTGCCTATTAACTATGTGAAATAAAGGAAAAAAATAAACATATAGTTTCTTTTAAAAAAAAAACCACGCAAGAAACAAATCTTCAACGGGGATTCTATCCCCAGATCTCTTGATATTAAGGCAGTAGGCCTATGCTATGCTAATACTTTTGTACAACGCAAATCGATTTTTTAAAATGATTCTATCACTCTAAAAAAACCAGCATTTTTTTGGTGACTTTGATTAAAAATAAGATATAGCATTAAGCTAACAGGCGTTTTTTTCAATGTATCCATAAAGTAGAAGAGTGGTGTGACACTCAACATTAACCTTAGTAATAACTCATTGCCCAGATGCTTACCTACGCATGACAATGCGTATTTAATGTGTGCCAAGTACAACAATGAAAGGTACATGATGACGTTCACTGAAAGTTGTAAATCGATATTCTGGTTTAAAATGAAATTCCATCCCCTTGTGACTTTCACAATCACCGATAAAACGTCACGTTAGCGTGTGAACTGTAAGAGGATAATCTTGGTCGATTTTTTACAATGATTCAACACTTTGGTGAAGGGTAGTGTCAGGAGGACATATTTTTAAAGATCACTGTACCACTGCCAAAAACTGTAACTATGCTTTGGAAACATTGTGAAAATTTTATGCAAGGCGCCATCTATGCCAGGATTCGAACCCTGGATCTTAGATTATTATACGGTCGCTTTAACCAACTGGTTACATGCTCAAAGGAAATGTCCTGGCTCAACTGCGTCACAGTTAAATCTGAACTGAACGAACGGGGAGGTTACTGTTTACAAGAAAAATTAAACCCTGTGAAATTCTCTAGTATTTTACCCGCAGTGGGTAGGGGATCCTTAAGAGATCATCGTAGGATCATGAACAAGGACGACGCCAGTACTTAAAGATAGAAATGGTGATGCTGAGGGCAACTATTGGAAAGGCATAGCGACAAAACCACCCTATAAAAGTAAATGGAGGTTATTTACGTATCAATACAAATTATACAAAAACAAATTATGCCAGTACAAATTATACATATACAAACAATATTAAAAAATATCAGCTTTTTGCAAGTTATAACTTTATCTCATAAAAAGCTTAACACTATTTGTATATATCTCAGACAAGCAGCATGCATTAGAATAGCAAATGACCAATATTATATTTTCATTAAGAGCAAATATTTAGTAAATACATGCATGTAATCTTATGCTCTAAATTGAGGAAAAAAGAAACATTTTAAAAGCACAAAAATCTGTATTTGCATACATGGTAATATGAATAAGGACTAAAAAATGACACTGTACATGCTAAATAGTATAATCTAAATTATGAACTTGTCATACGGGGCTACGCAA